CTATACTGGCACTTCTTGTCTGCATTTAACCATCAAGCATTATATTGAATATTTGGTTATCTGTATAACCAAAAAACCAAAAAAATGGCTTCTTCCAGTACAGAAAAGGCTTCTGCTAATGTTTTTGAATTCATTCTCCATACACATGAACGAACATATTTGGAATGATGTGTGTATGTGAAGCAGGGGCTGGGCAGCATTTCAGATTCAGCTTTCAAAGCTGCTTTGAAGAGTTTAGGAGCTCAACTGTAGCATCTGCCTGCAATACCTTTAAGTGGTTATATCTTTTTTCTTGGAATTGCACAGCCACTTAGAAGTGTTATAGACAGAGCTCTGAAGCAGATTTTTGGATGCTTTTCCAGTACCAAAGTTCAAAAGAGTCAATATTCTTTCTATTTCTTCAAAATTCAACTTTTGCTTCCATAGACTTTCACAGGGAATACCTTTTCTGTGCTGTTCCGAACTTTGTAGGTACTATAGACACATCACAGGATCTGAATAGTTTTTCCAAAGCTTTCATGGCGGTTCTATAAGTTATTCTGCAGCTTGTTCCTTTACTGTTGAGGGTTGATTGTAAAAGGTAAAAACTTTCTATCACTTCAGTATCTTCACTGTCAGTTATAAGGCTCTCTGTTGTACTTATTGCCATTAGTTTGGTCCTCTACCTTTAATTTGACTACCATTTTTTACTATGCTCTGTGACTTTTATTATTAGGGCTTGTGGATCCTTTGCGTTTTCAGTTATCAAAGTAGTGTCATTTGCATAATTACAGGGCATGCAGCATACCATTCTATTTTTAGGGGAAAAAAACATGTTTTCAGAAAAAGAAATCAGTTTTTGTATGTAGATAATGTCTTTGTATTCCTGCCTGAGCAGGGGGTTGGATTCGATGATCTCCAAGGTCCCTTTCAACATTATTATTATTATTATTATTATTATTATTATTATTATTATTATTATTATTATTAGTAGTAGTAGTAGTAGTAGTAGTAGTAGTAGTAGTAGTAGTAGTCTAGAAGATACTACTTTCAATGCAGTGAAAATAGTTTCTCCCCACAACCACTAGATTGGCTCAGTATTAGTATAAATGATGGGTTTGCTTTTGTTTATTTAGTTGAAAGAAGTTTAATCTGTAATTCAGATAAGATTTACACTGTTAAATTGGTTTGAGCAACCTATGCTCTTCCAAACATTGATTACAACACCTTTAATCTTTGAACAGTATCCATGCTGATTAAGATTGGTTGGAACTAAACAAGTAGAGGATACATGTTTCCCAATCTTACTACAGGTAGTCCTCTACTTACAACAGTTCATTTAGTGACCATTCAAAGTTACAACAGCATGAAAAGTGACTTATGACTGCTTTCACGTGACCATTGCAGCATCCCCATGGTCACACAATCAGAATTCAAACGCTTGGGAACTGACTCACATTTATAACAGCTGTCTTGGTCTAGAGTAGCAAAGCAAACCCAAACCATGGTATTGGTTTCACAAATGGGGCAAAGGTCTTATGCTGGAGCACAGTTTTTACCCTTTGCCAAAAAATGCTTTTTCATTTTTATTTTGGTCTCATCTACCCACAGAGCACATCTCAATAGGTTTCTGACTTATGTGCATGGCCTTTCACCAACTGTAAATGGGCAGCAATCTTTTTCCTTGCAACTCTGGCATATACATCATTGTTCAGTGTTCTCCTAATGTTAGTTTCATGAACACTGATATTTGCCAATGCAAGATAGGCCTTTAGTTCCTAGGATTCTTTTGAGTTCCTGAATTCTTTGAGACCACCCAGTGTTACACATCTTGCTTTTTGTGTGATCTTGATTGGTTAACCACTCCTAGGGAGGTTAACAGCCGCACTGAATTGCCTCCATCTGTAACCAATCTGTTTGACAATGGAGTGGTAGAATCCAAGATCTTTGGAAATTGTTTTGTAACCTTTTCCAAAATGGTGAGCATCTCTTTTTGAAGATCTTCAGAAATCTTTATTTGAGATATGACATATTTCCATATACCTGTGTGGTGAAGATTAGACTTTGCTAATGAAGACCCACAATTCTCTTCTTTAAATAAGGTAGGACTTCTCACTTTCACACCCAATTATCCCTTTGATTGAAACACCTGGCTCTGATTTCCACTTCAAATGAACTGATAATCCACAAACATATGTAGCTTCATATTATTTTGCTCAATAAATTAAAGAACAAGTATAATGTTTTTGATTCATTTAACTGGGTTCCCTTTACAAAATATTTTTTAAATTACAACCACAATTGGGATCAATATGGATTGCAAAGCAAGGTGGTTAATTACCTCCAATTTTATGACTTTTGCCACAATTGTTAAGCAAATTGCATGACTAAGCAAATCCAGCTTCCCCCATTAACTTCATCAGAAGGCAGCTGGGGAGGTCACAAATAGTGATTGGTGACCTTGCAACACTGTAGCCATCATATATCAGCTTGTCTTCAGAAGTTGTGGGTGCTTCATCATTGGAGGCTTTTAAGAAGAGACTGTCTGAGATGGTATATATAGGATCTCCTGCTTGAGCGGGGTTGGACTAGAACAGAGGTCTCCAACCTTTTGGGCACCAGGGACCGGTTCCATGGAGAGGTTTTTCTGCGCACCGGAGGGGGCGTGGTTTTGTGTGCAGCCTGCATCCCATGGATGGGGCTTTGCTTGTTTGTGTGGACCAGTTGCTGGCATGCTGCGGCCCGGTACCAGGCCACAGACCGGAGGTTGGGGACTGCTGGACTAGAAGACCTCTAAGGTCCTTTCCAGCTCTATTCTGATTGATAGATTTAATACATGCTGGTTGCCAAATGCCTGAATTTTGATCATGTGACTATGGGGATGCTGTGACCATTGTAAGTGTGAGGACCAGTCATAAGTCATTTTCAGTGGAGCTGTAATTTCAACGTCACTTAAACAATTGGTTGTAAATATGTATCTAGTTTTAAGACTTGGATCAGAGAACATATTATGTCTTGGGTCATATTTATGTAGAAATAATAAAAATTCAAAAGGCTTCACAAACTTAAGCTCCACTGTAAATGTGTGTGGTGTGTCCACAGAAACCCAAGAAGAGTGGAATGTATTCACACCTGTGCAGTTTACAAATATACCTGTGTGGTTGTTATAACTTCAACTATTGTCTCCTTCAGAACTGTGCTTAAAAATGTTGCGCCGTGCAGATGCCAGCTCTCACTCCCACTTCTTTTCCTTATGCCACCTGAAACAGATTGCTGGCCCTATTCCAAAAGAGCAGGATCAGCCCTACGTTTGAGAAACTTTTCAACTTTTGACAGAGAAACTGTGATTGACAGGTGTACCTATACTTGTGAGAGAACATTTTGTTTCTTACTAAAAAGGACACAATTCAGCTATTTCAGATGCTGAACAATACAGATGATAAATCGGAAAGGAAGCTGTATCCATAAATCCAAAAAGTCACGAAACATTATATACATAATCCCTACAATTAGTTGGCGTCAAATACAATGAATAAGGAAAGTGCTTCATGATAAGTAGATTTAATAGTTCAACTATAATTCATCTAAAAGTGACATTTTGATCAAGATCGTTTGAGAGAACCAATGCTAAAAGTATTTTTCAAAGGAAACTTTGGGACTCAAGGAAGTTAATTGTATCATCTATTTCCATCGGTGTTTTTATGAGAATCCAGTAATCCAAAGAGATTCACTACCAAGTAAAATCTGAGACCACAAATACCTTTTCTTTCCCTCCCACCCCTTTAAAAAGAATTTTGGGCAGGGCAATTTGTATCCCACCTTTATTTTTACAAATAAACTTATCCAATGAACTTCCTATTTTTTCTACAATAACAACCCTGTGAGGTAGATTAGGCTGTGTGTGTGACCCAGCTGGCTTTCATGGCTAAGGTGGGACTTGAACTCCTGATCCCCTGCTCTCTATCCTGGTGCATTAACCACTAGACTAAATGACTGATACCCTCGATCTCTGGAAATTTTCAAAATTGACATATAATCCTTAGATTTGGAAGGATTTATGTTAGGTCAAAATCAGAAAAGTTTCCTTTAGGCTAATTAACTAGTTAATGATCAATTATAGTTATTAGGTTAACTAAAGTTTTGCTGCTAAATAATCCTGCCCAAAATGAGCAGTTTAAGGTTTGAGGATTGTCAAAATGTGTTATCTGAACTGTGTTATCCCAACCTTTTTTGTTGCCCTGCTATACTACTAAAATTTCACATTAACCATCCCCCAGAATACACAGCTGCTTCTCCAGTAAGCTTAATGCACCTATTTATGTAGGAAATTTATATGGCTGCCCAATATACTTATGGTTATGGTCAGCTTACAGGAATATTTTTAATGAGATATATTTCAATCAAATTGTTCATAATTTTTAGGTGGCTGGATGTACAATGCCATACAGAAGCAGTTGGGTTCAAGTGACTGGTTCCAACCCATTTTGTTGAACAGTGTTTTCAATAATAACCAGTTGAGTGGCTCTTCAAAGCTGAGCTCTAAATCAAAGCAAGTAGGGAGGTCTCTCCTGTTTTTCAAAGATACACAATCTCTGAACAGGGAGGTTCCACTTAACTCCAGACGAAACCTCTTACCCTAATTAGCTTCTCAAATTCATCCTCCTCGGTTTTTTAAAAAAGAAAATCAGTCATGGCAGACTGTAGCAACGCACCCAATATATTATTGCTCTACAGAAGATGGCCTCACTTAGATACAGTAACAAATCCTGTTTTGGGTCCAGTCTACATTTGGTGGATAGACTTGACCTTGTAAACGTTTTGAGCTGAGCTCCAATCTCGAGCTCTTCTCTTCTGACCGACGTCGCCTAAAACTAGTTGTTGGGAGGCGAGCCGAATCTCCTTTTACTGCTGCCGGCCCGGGGCTCCCAGGTGTGTCCAATTTAGCACCTTCGTTGAAAAGTTGACTCCTGCGCCTTTGAAGGAGGCGATCGGCGTCAGGTTCTCCCTCCGGACTGTCGGTCATGGAGGGGGAGCTTTTCTTGGAAGGGCAACCCCCGGACTTTTCCATCCTGCAGGAACTGCTCTGCCCACCTTGCCTGGAGTCCGAGCCTAGTTGCAATCCGGTCTCCGCTTCAGGGGACTTCGGGTCAGAAACAGCCGCGGCTAGAGAATTCGGGTGAGCCGTTCTGACTGACATCCATAGCCTGCTCCTGAGAGAAGAAGGGGCTCCGGATCACAGTTCGCACCCAAAGAAGATCCGGGAAAGCTCCTCTTGGCTGATGGCGCCCACTCAGCTGAGGGATCCGAACTGGCTTTTTGGACTTAGGGCTAAAGCCCACGGAAGAGAAGTTTAGGAGTAACCCTCGCTAACGCGCAGTGGGACTCGCTTCAGGCGTAAATGCGCAAAGGCTCTCGGCTCATTGGCTTTACTCTAGGGCGTAAGGCTGTGGGGATTTATTGCCGAGTAAGAGGCGGTCTAGGTTCGGCTTGTAGAGCGAAACGGTCGCAGTGCCGCCTAGACGGGGGCTGCGTCTTCCGCGCACGCCCCAGCCGGATTAGCCCTTGGGTGGCCAGCCCCGCAAGCGGCGCGAGCCCGGGCAGGGTTGGTTACTATTGGTCAAGAACTTGCAAGCGGGAACCCCCCTCCCGCGGGGGCCTTGCAGGTGTGGGCAGCTGAAGGGGCCGGGAGACTTTAGGTGGGTTTTCTTTGAGGGGAGTTGGGCCCGGCTCTTGTTCAGCCGCCTGGGAATAACTGGCCTGGATATGGGAAAGGGCAGCCTCCACAGCAGGAGGAGGAATTGCTGGGCAAGACTGTTGGGGAAAGGGGGAACTCCCCTCAGTTTCGTGTGGAGGGGAAAGGGGCCGTGGCAATGATTGGTGCCTCTCTTGAGATGGCAAAGGGGCTTCAGGAAAGCAGTCCCGAAGAAGTCCTGTATTAGGGATTGGAGAGCCGAGGGAAACTTGGGGAATCTTGTTCAGAGGACGGAATACTTGAGGCAGGGCGATCCCTGGTCCAGTACATCGATTTTCAAGGCTACTAGTGATGGGTTCGCAGGGCAGGAGAGAGCCAGGAGGTGCGCCACCTACCGACCGATTAGGGTTAGAATGATCATGGGATCATTATATACAAAGTAAGGATTATGAAAGGATACTTGGAAAAAGCTTTATTTATTTGGGCTGTTTCCAAAGAGATCATCTTTGTAATAATTCATTGTGCAGACAACAGTTCTGTGGTATTCTGAAGATTTAGAGCACAAACGTGTGGACTAAAAAGTCCTATAATCAGTCTGTGAAATTTATTGCTGAACAAACTTATTAACAAACCATGATCACTAACATGCTTATGGATGCTTGAGATTTAATTATCACTAATTGTCTTTTCTTTTGAAATCCATTGGAGCAGTATGTTTGTCTGAAAAATAAGTTGCATAGATCATAAATTTTTAGAGCATCTATATTTCTACTCAACTCATTGACATTAAACTGTTGGCCAGTTGTTTGAATGCATTGTTTAAGTGCTGCAACAGTTTTACAGGGCCTTTCGTTGTGTATGCTGGCTAAAGAATAAATAATTAAATAGATAAATGCTCATGGTAATCCCAGATAATTTTTCAAATAAAAAGTGTGAATTTTTTCACATTTATTCATGGTTTAGGATTTTTTTTTTAAAAAAAAAAGCTTTAAGAAATTAGATATGTTATTTTTAACTAAATTTGGATGGATGCTAGGAGAGCCTCTCATATAGAATTTATACTAGCATGCAGTGGTGATAGAGACTTATTACAGAAATATTTGGGACAGAATCCTCTAAAAAACTATCCTAATAACTTTTTCATGGGAACTTCAATAAAATGTTTTTAAAAGAACTGTAAATTTCAAAATAAGTGTGAAAGTGCTAGTATTTATGTAGGGCAGTCCCTACATAAATGTGGAAGAAGAGTTTGGAGTAAGTGCACCACCCTTTTATAAGCACAAATGACAATCTCCATCTTGGTTCACTCAATGCTTTTCTACTTACTCTTCTTACCTGCAGGTTTGAGCCTTTCAGCAACATGGCTTGTTGCCTTCAGATGCCAGATAGCAAAGCCCTCAGCTTCCTGCAGGAGAGTACCCAGCTGCTGTCCCAAGCAGAGCCAATCGGCAGTAACCCAGGAAAGCCTCTGTGGCAGCTGAGCCGAGCGATACATTCCATCCACAGCATCCGTGGACCCCAATGCAACTGTTTCCACAGTGTCCGTGGACTCCAATGCAACTGTTTCTCCTCTCCCCTAGTGCCTTTTGCTCCCACGGATGCTCTGAATCTCATCAGCCTCCATTGCTCCAGCCTTGAGTCAGAACCTCTAGATCAGGTCAAGCCCCCAGAAGCTGGGGAAATTGCTCATGAGAGGTCTCCCATTACCCACTCTAAAGACCATAGTAGTCACCTGCTGGGGCGAGCTTGTGTGGAAGAGCCCAGACTGACCCAACTCTCTGAGTCACAAAGAGGCAGGAGGAGAGTCTTCCGCAAGCAGCCTAAACCCAGAAGGAGCTATGAAGCTCTGGACCCAAATTTCCAAGGGGTGACACTCCACATGAAATTGTGTCTGTGTCAAAGCTCTTCAGAGGGCTGTCGCCTTATCATTAACCCCCAATTCAGCAGGTACAGTTGCTGTACGACATGTCAGTGAACCTGTGGCTCCTAAGTCCCAGATATGCAAACAGGAATTCTTTATGGTATTCATAGAACTAATTTCTCCTTTTAATTAACTTGTCTACCATGTAATATGCATGTTGTGTCCCATTAGTAACAGTTCTGATTGGAAAAAAATGTCAAAGACTCCACAAAGATTTAAACTTCCTCTTTTGTGTAGTGTCTCAATTCCTAAAAGCTGCATTTTGTCTTACAAGGGGGAGACCTATAAATATAAATGGAACACTGGCACAGTGCAGTCTCCAGCATCATTTTTTACTTTCAAAAATGACGCATGGATTTCATGTTTTCTTGGAAAATAAAAATGATAATTGGCTGTAACCTATTGCCTAACAAAAGGACCAAGGTAAGCTGCAGCAGCAGTATCAAAAATTATGCAAGAACTAGGGATTCTAGAGGGGTTGCATGGAAGTATTCTGGTAAATAGTTTACAGGGACAATGTTTCCAGGGAAGCCATTTTATGGATATACCGGTAATTTGTTTTTACCTCTATCACCTCCCATAGCAGTCATTTTATGAGAGTCCCCACTATGTTTTCGGAATTAAAATGTGCCCACTACGCTGCCCACAGTAGAATGAGCTATAGAGTCTTGTTTTCTAGATGACAAGAGACAATGTCAATTCCTAACATAGTGAGGCACCGTGTTGATAATTTTGCCACAGAGTTATAACTCTTGGCCAATCTGCCTTCTGATCCTTTCTATTTTTGCTAGGTCAGTTTGGTCACCTATAAATTATTCAGGAAATGAAAATCTGCAGTTTCTTTCTGGAATTCCAACTAGACAAGCACTTCATATGATTTATGAAGTAGATACAGAATGGCACTCTTAGAGATTTATAACCAGACTTGCCTTATCAGGGAGATGGGTGGCATATAAGTTTAATACTGTATTGCTGTGGAGAAACTACCTCAAAACTGCTGCTGTAAACTCAGGTTAGTTACTTCCCAGCTACCCAAAGTCTTTATTGGCTTGTAGTCACTCTTATCTCAGTGATAAAGGACTTTGTGTCTTTTAGAAATTTAGAAACTGTAGTTCCTAATATACAGTATAAAGGGAAGCACAGTTGAACAGGAGAAACTTCCTGACAGTTAGAACAATTAACCAGTGGAACAACCTGCCTCCAGAAGTGGTGAATGCTCCAACACTGGAAGTTTTTAAGAAGAGACTGGACAGCCATTTGTTTGAAATGGTATAGGGTTTCCTGCCTGAGCAGGGGGTTGGACTAGATGACCTCCAAAGTCCCTTCCAACTTTATTATTATTGTTGTTGTTGTTGTTGTTGTTATTATTATTATTATTATTTTGGGAGTAAATTCTATAGAAGAAAAACCCTCTTATACTCTTTATTCCTAACGCAATCTTTTCTTCCTTTGTCTTGGTCATTTTTCTTCTCTTTGCCCATGTAAAACATGTGAAAACCAGTAAAAATAAAAGGTAAAAAGGGCAACTTTTTAATACTTTTTGTTTTGCAACACACTGTGATTTAGATGAAGTAGGATAATCCTATGGAACATAAGGTATGAGGAATTGTATTTTTTTACTTTGTCATTTAATCTTTACCCACCCTATTAAAGCCCCAACTTTCTTTAGGTATGCCTGCAGAATTGTATTCATAAACTACAGTACCTATGAACTATTTGTTAGAGGTTATTAATATTTTTATTTGTAAACCACCCAGAGGCATGCAAGTGTAATAGGCGGTATAGAAATTTGATAAATATAGACTTGCTGAGCTGCTCAACCTGACTCTTACTGATCTAGGAACAATTACTCCAAATCATAGAATCTTTTGTTGTTGTTGTTGTTGTTGCATAGATATATGTAGGATAGATCTGTAAATGTAGAAAATACTTTAACAGATGTAAGATCCTTTTTGTATGTACATACATCTTGGATCAAGCATGATTTGAGTAGTTTCTTATAGCTTTGATTAAATTGATTAGTTATACTGTCTTGAACTTAATTTTTCCAGGTATTACTCAAAAACTGCAGTCTTCATTCACATTTCACATCTTTTAGTAAAAACTGTCCTTATAAAGACTTTGTGATTAATTATGTTTTTTTCAGTTCCATCCTTTGGCCTCTGCCGTCGCAACTTTGGTTGCTAAACAAAAAGTCGTAAGTCAAGGACTACCTGTATTTAATTTTCAGTGTAGATCAGAGTATAAAGCTAAATCACGTGACTGAAGAAATCGTTTTGTTTCAAAGCATACCTGAAATGCTAAATATCTAATCTGTGCTCAGTGGAAAACTTAGGAAAAGAAGTGGAGTTCCTTTAGCAGAAGAGTGCAAAACTGGCAGTTTGGAAGAGGAAGGATTCGTCCCTGCACACAGTATGTTAATTCTTTTGCCAGTAAATAATTGTAATACTAACTAGTTATGTTTAAAGTGTCCAAGACAAAAGCATGTGATTTATCTTTTTTTTTTCAGGAAAAGGTTGGGTCATAATCTAGTATAAATCTTGCAATAGCTTAAATTATGAGCCAACAACTCTCTGTTTAAGAATTGTCCTAGCAACAAACTCACTAAGTGATTTGTGTAACAGTTATGATGTTGTCAACCTTATTTCAACACCTTATGATAAAAAAAATAGACCACTTCACCAAAATATTTGGAGGATTATTGAAATAAAATTGGGAGACAATTTGAACTTTATATATTATTATATAAATTATGTACACTAACCCTATTGAAGTTCACTCATTCTGAATTTTCTTTATACAAACTTCAGTGATGAGCACATATGACATATTTCAAGTCACCAGGATTTTTCCCCAAAATTCAAAACAGCTAAAAATATCCCTAAACAAAACAAAACAAAAAAACCCCCACAAACCAAATCTAAACACCATTGGTCTAGTACTGAAAGTGTCCAAGTTAGAAGAAATTTGTAAGGCATGCTTTCAGCAAATTTAAATTAAAATTTAAATTAACTGCTTTTTGCTTTCAAGGAAATAAGCGTTGTGCTTCCTGCAAGACTAGAAAAACTCCACTGTGGAGAGATGCTGAAGATGGGACCCCTCTGTGTAATGCTTGCGGCATTAGGTATTTAGCATCCTATGCTATTATAGTTCAACAATGACACTCGATAAGGTCTAGGATTTACTACAAAACAGGCCAAGCACAGAACTGCTTCTGATTTAGCTATTAAAGGTCAACAAAACATAGAAAGGAAAACGGTGATTTGAACTATGACTAAGATTATGCTCTGGAAATATGTTGGAAAATAGTTCCAAGGATCCCTAATACCTATTGGCCCTATTTTCATAGGAAATATTTTCCTTATATCCCACAAATATTTCATGCATTCCCCAAGACATTTCCATTTTATTTCACGCAAATGGGAGATACAGTACAGCAGCATGGGAAGATGCTTGGCACAGTTTATAAAATTCAGCCCAGTCAATGAACATAGACACAGAATGACCAATGACATTTTTATTAAACTTATTAATCTTATTAATGTTTAAACTTTATTATTAAACTTCTTCTCTCCCCCTGCTCCAGGTACAAAAAGTACAGAATAAGATGTTTTCACTGCTGGAGTATTCCAAAGCATGGTGGGAAACCTTACCCACATTGTTCCAACTGTGGAGGGAAGTTGGGTGTGGTAGCTGCCCAGCAGAAACCTGGAAGAAGGTAAAAAGGGCTGGGGAGAAGGAAAGCTTTGGTTGTTCAGAATAGGTTGTGATTGTCCTGCTCACTTGAGGTTGAGTTATGAAATGTGGACTGAATTACAACATTTAGTTTAGGTTCTGATCTGATTATTTGAAAAACAGACCAGTTCATCTGGATTAATAACAGATCACTTGATAGGTAATAAGTCATCACTATTCAGCTAAAATAAATATCTATGTAAAAACAAAAGACCTTCTAATTTTCAATGTCCCAACTAATTAATTCATAATTTTAGCAACTGGATAATGAAATTCTCTTTTAAATTCCCCTTTAAAATCTTTTCTATTGGGAAGAGATTGGTGACACTTTTTTTAAAAAAAATCCATGTTTATGGCATTGTAATTGAATTGTATTTCTATATAAAAAATAAATCAGCTCTCCATCCTGCAGCAATTAAGAACAGAAATAGGAGTTTCTAATATGAGCATTTCTTTTAAAATTAGCAATTTTCAATATTCAAAAGTTATTGTGTCATGTTTAGAGATAAATTATGAATTGTAGATTTGTCTAAAGATAAATCCATTTTAGATTATAGTGTCTCTCTCTCTGTGTGTGTTATGCTAACTCTCCAGAGTTATCCAGTTTTGTTGCAACATGAGGATGGATAAAAAGAAATATATTTGAATCCCCTGCACTCCAATGTCACTAATTTTTTTTTAAAGGAAAATGAAATGAGAGACAAGATCAAAGCTGATTTTCATAGCAATACAATGTATTAAGAGCTGGAGGTAACTTTTACATATAAATGCAAAATGTCAAACCCAGCTGAACATTTTTCTTTTTGTTTTCATCCCTGGATAAATTTGGCTCTTCTCTTTCTGTGCTGAGAGAGAATTATATGTGCAGAAATCAGTCTTTTTTTTTTAGATCCACTGAAAGCTATAGTGAAGCTAAAGTTGCTTAGCTAGACAGAGTAACATTATAAGCTGAAGGAAGCCAGGAAAAATTTTATTTGATCTACTTATCCATATATTTTTCTTCCACACTAGTGCCCAAAATATGTAGCTTCCTTAGCCATGTTTTGATGAATCCAGAACAACTCTGTGTCATCTAGATTATGCATCACTTTATTTTTCTTCTTTCTCTCCATGCTTGATAGCAGTCCCTGCTATAGAATTTTAATCACAACTGGAAATGTATTATTTGAATCCCAGCTTTACCTATTGCAAATGAAGAAAGATCAGTTTGTCAAGATCATCCCTATCTAGTTCAATATGTGCTCAGTCACCAGAACTCTCAGGAATCATAGACCTGTCAGCCTTCCTTTAAAATAAATAAATGAGGCCTAGAATCTCCAGTTTGAGGAACAAATATGAAGTTCCCAAATGTGGTTGATTAGTTCAGTAGCATGAAAGTGAATTTCAAATTCTGATATATTCCTATGTCCCAACTCATTGTCAAGATCTTTCCTCACAGACCCCTCTGTCACACTCAGTCTTGAGACTCATCTCAATATTTTCAGGTTGAAAGATAGAACAATAGCTTGGTAGTAAAATGTCTGCTTTATAGGAACACCATATTATACATTCATAGACAATTGCTTTCTTCACTGGAAGTCCCAGTGCAAAGGTCTGTGCATGAACTTGCATGAACAGAGAACATTAAAAACCAGTGGCTGGTTTAAAATATTAAAGTGGTACTTGGAAGACTCAAGTTTTCAAGTCCACTTTCAGCCATGGAAGCTCACTGGGTGAATTTGTGTCAGTCACTGTCTCTCACCCCAACTTATCTTATAGGTTTTCCACAGTGTGGAAAAATGAGAGGAAGGAATGCTATTTGGGATGTGAATCATCAAATACAGTAATGAACCAGAAAATACCTCTAAGGGGAATTTGGCCTGAACCTTTTGAAGGATATTGCTGCTTTGATACTGCAAAGAGGAGTGCGTTGCTTGCCACATTATGTTTCTTGAAGTAATCGTCTTAGTTCAGGGGTCCCCCCACCCCGGGCCACGGCATGCCAGGAACCGGACTACGCAAACAAGAGAAGCCCCATTCGTGGAATGCAGGCAGCATGCGAAACCACGCCTCCTCTGGTCCACAGAAAAATCTCTCTCCACAGAATCGGTCCCTGGTGTTCAAAAGGTTGGGGCGGCGGTGCTGTCTTAGGTGATTTCCACAGCCCCAACCTAAATAGCATTAATACATTATTAATAGCCTAAGTAGTGTAAATAGTATTAATAGGTTATTTTTTATTGTACTCTGAATAATAAACATAAAATTGAGAATGTAGTTATGCCCTAATCATACATCATATTATAAATTTAAGGGATTCTTTCTTTCTGTTTTGTAGATGTGGCAATTCTGTAAAAAATTGCAATTAGCTGGAGAGGAAAATTTCTTTGAGGAACTTGAACTACTTGTCCGACAGCCTTGGATGAATAACTAGATGGATTATTATGAGATATATTAATCCCATTTCCATAGATTTTTACTTTGGCTTTGCATTTTGATTCTTCCTGGATATTACTCTGATATGAAATTGCAGCTATACTGTATGTTGAATATTTAATTTAAATGAATGTGGAAAAAGGTAGAAAAGAAGCATGGAATGTTTATGAAATAGAGGTGTTTCACTTAAAATTTCAACCATCCACACAGCTGAGAAGAAAATGCTGAAATATTTTCAAGTAATTATACTTCCTAATCACATGGAATATTTCTTTAAGATATATTGGGTTAATGTTGCTGTCTCACTCTTTTATAACAGCTATAGGTTCAACAACAGGTTGAAACTATATTAATTACAGTGCTATTGGATACTTTCTAGAGAGGAATCACAAAGAGCAAAACAGATTTTTCACAAATTATTTTTGGACAAGCAGGAAAGGGATCTTATTTAAAACATTTAATAATTAGGCCACCATCTTCTAAGGGATCTAGAATTTAAAAAACTTATAGTCCTATATGATTAAAGGACTTTTCTCCTGATAATATTTGTTAATTTCACAATAAATAATTACTATAAATACACAAGGTGTGTGCTACAAAATATTTGTATATTTGTAGTAAATTGTCATGTATTATTTAATATGAAGCAAAATGATAGTTTCTGAATGATACAGATGCCTTTACCAGTACATGATATGTTTCAAAAGGCATCACTCTCCAGGAAGAATTGTGTTTTGTGATAGTGTGCAGACTTCTTTTTGAAGTATATTTGTTTTTGTAAATAGCATTTATATTAGAAGTTTGAGATTGCTATATTCTCTACAGAGCAGTACTAAAATGAAAAACAACAGATCTGTATCATGAAATAAAACCAAATACCTTGATTTTTTTTGTAATTAATTAAAATTCTGTAATTTATTAAAATTCAAAATGTTGTTGAAAATAACACATTAAAGGTTATTTCATCACTAAATAGCTGCCAAACAAATGCAATAAATATTATTTATTGTTACACACTACAGAACACTGTCTGGTTAATTTTTGCAAAGACTTGGAAGGGGAAGATGGGGGTGTGGGGGGAGAAATACCAGTATACCTTATATATAACCAGGGCTTTTTTTCTCATAGAATGCCCAGAACGGAGTTCCGGCACCTTTTTTGGATGGAACCTTGTAGGGTAGGCAAAGCGGGTTGTATGATGTGTGTGAGTTCTGGCCCCCACCCCTTTTTTTTTTTTTTTAGAAAAAAAGCACTGCCTTATAGTAATGTCATTGCTAGGCTATTAAAGATTCAGAGATCAGATGCTATTCATTTTTTGAATGGAGACTTGCATGCAACTCCAATGAAATATAAATTGGTTTATTTGATACTGGGGGCAATAGACATACCTGAAGTAGGAAGGAGTATGCAACCCTGTGCTTTCGTATCTTGCTGCTTTTTATTTTTGCTTATGCCCTATGCATCTAAATCCCTCCCTCCCACCTACTGGGGGGTGCAGGGGGCTGTATTTGAACTTACCCTGAGGCTAAAACTTGTCATTTTATGGGAAGTGTGGAGGTTTTTCCCATCAGAAATGTATACGTAATTGAAAAACTGAAAAGTTTTATTGCATTTCACTTTCTGCCACATTAGGGAAAATCTTGTTAATAAGACTCAAATACCTACAAATCCCTTTACTTTATTGATTATCACGTTTATCTTCAGAGGATCACGTTTATCTTCAGAGGAAATAGAATGGGAGATTCACTATCACGTTTATCTTCAGAGGAAATAGAATGGGAGATTTTTTTAGCATGACCATCAGTTTAATTGTCAGGACAATTTTATCATGAATCTGTCTTCTGACATAGCTATCTGTTTATATTTGAAAGATTGCTGGGTGTGCACCCATTTGCCCACCTGTCCAATGGGAAGTGCTTCCTTATTTGGCATTCTTCTGGGGTTCAGTACCGCTATCTTCTATCATTTATATAACTCATCTGTTGCTGCTATAAATATGAACTAATAAATATAGGGACCTTTACTGAATTCCTTTACCAAGGAATTATACTTCTAGAAACTCCTGTCAAATCAGTGCAACTTTGGTTGGTAACACAAGTGATTGTGTATTGAATTACAGATAATCTTCAATTTACAATTATTTGTTTAGTGACCATTCAAAATTACGATCGCACTGAAAAAAGTGATTTATAACTGTTTTTCACGCTTAACTATTGCAGCATCTCCATTGTCATGTGATCAAAATTCAGATGCTTGGCAACTGGCCTGTATTTATAATGTTTGCAGTGTCCCAGGATCATGTGATCACCTTTTGTGATGATCTGGCAAGCAAAGTCAATGGGAAAGGCAAATTCACTTAACAACCATGTTACTCTCTTAACAACTGCAGTGATTCAATTAACTGTGGCAAGAAATATCATTAAATGGGCCCAAACTCACTTAACAATGGTCTTGTTTAGCAACAGAAATTTTGGGCTCAAATTATGGTCATAAGTTGAGGACTTATGACCATGATTGACCTAAATTCCAGAACAATCCCACAGTCTGTATGATTTTGAATGGATAGCATAGAAAAAATTATCTTGTACATGGTAAGGAACATGCACTATAGGAGCCTGTCAGTATATGGACCTCTTCCCATCTTTTGGGTTAACCTTCATTATCCTTTCTGTTTTTCCTGTTCGATACTTAATCTTTTAGTGAAATGACAATCTCCTTTACACTCTTTACTTGGATGGTTTATGTCCCCACGTGAAATTCACCTATCTTAATATATCTGGTGTCTCTTGAGATTTAGCCTAATGCTGCAGCAAATGCAACTGGTAGGCTACAAACAGTTACTTCAATATTATACTGTAAGTAGTTATCCAAAACTGTATGGTTTTGGATTTTTTTATTAGCTAGTCGAGGTATTTGTGCTGTTATTAATTCTAGCTGTTGTACTTTTGTGGACCAACAAAAGTCCTCCTTCATATGCAGGTTTTTCTACCACATTCTGCCAACTTTTATGCCCTTGCAGCCTGATGCTTCCTTCTCGAAAATATGGCAATTCCTCACTTCCTAGCTACCTAGACCTCATCTTTGGGTCTATTGTCACAGAACATCTGTTCTATGTTAATAGTCTGTGGTGGTTTGTATTGCTTGAATGGCCTATATTCTGCGTGCTCTCCTGCTCATCAAATTTTCTTTTCCCATTGTGCTGCAATACTGCCGCTTGCTGCTGTGGAGATAATAGCCCTTATGGCTAAGCTGGACTGCAAGTACAAAGAGACACAACCCCATCAAAAACTAATGAGACTGTATCTCTCTAAAGCTCGGGGGGGGGGGAATGTTGGAAGCTATGGCTAGGAGGGCCTTTGCAAACCTTCGGGTGGTGCACCAGTTGTGCCCATACTAGATCAGGAAGCTAGATCACATAACTGATGCCCTTGTAATTTCCAGATTAGACTATTGCATCACACTCTACATGGGACTGCCCTTGAAGATCATTTGGAAACTCCAACTGCTGCAGAAAGTGGCCACGTGGGTAGTAAATGGGTGCCAGATATACAGCATACACATAACACCATTCCTGTGTGAGCTTCATTGATTACCTGTGTGTTTCTGGATGCAATTCAAGGTGCTGGTTGTTACTTATAAAACCCTACAACATGGCTTGGGACTGGAGTGCCTGAAGGGATCGCTTTTTTCCAAGAGTTTCTACTGGTCCAACTAGATCAAGCAGAATGGGCATGTTGTAGATCCTGTCAGCCAAAGAGTGTTGGTTGGTGGGGACTAGAAGATGAGCTTTTTTCACAGTGGCCCCTGCTTTATGGAACATCCTCCCTTCAGAGGTCAGAAAGGGCCCAGCCCTGTTAGTCTTTCATAAGCCTTAAAAACCCAGCTACACTCCCCATTCTGGGGCGCTGAATATGCCAAAGGCCCCTTTTCCTGGCTATATTGCTAATAGGCCAAATATCTTGATCTTGTGTATGTTGAACTGTGTGTTTTAAATGCTTTTTTACTGTTTTTGTTGTTTTAAAATGTTTTTTTAATTTTTTATTGTAATATGTTTTCTGAATTGTAAGCTGCCCAGAGTTATTGACTGAAATGGGAGGCCATAGAAATTGAACAAATAAATTAAAAAAAACCTTTGCACACCTTACCATTTTCAGTGTTTATCAGCACTGATCTTCAGGGTGGGGTGGTGGTAGGGGGAGGCATCCAAGATATCTCATCAATTTACTACTGTAAAGCACTTGACAGACAGTTCTTCTAAACAGATGGAGAAGGATATATTTGACCTGTTCACTTCCAGAACAACGTATAATGCAGTTTCTTCCATAGCCAAGTAGGACACTTTTGTGTTTCAATGAATAGGACATCTTCTGTATACTTTCTTTCCCATTCTTTTGTTGAAAAAGGGGGATGGGAAAGTTCAGGTAGGACGGTTCTATTGTGTTTCCCAACCAAGACTGGCAGTAAATCACACAGCTTCTGACTATGTATGACTTGCTACAGAATCTATGGTAGGACCTATCACAGAAGTGTATTTCTCTTAGTTGTCCCATTGCTTTTTAGGTACAGCAAACTGGTCAATTAATGTGTCAACTCTCCACAGCTCATATTTGATATGACCAAGACCATTTTTCATATGAATGTTTCCTTTTTTTTTTTTTACTGAAGATCATTTTTTAGTTTCATGTTTCTCAAGACGTTGTACTATCTCTATTTTTTTTCTATACAGGGTCATCACTGGAAATTTTAGTGGAATTGCCTTGGCCTTCATCATTTCAACATTCCTGGCACAGCTGGTGCCTTGTGCTTTATACAGAAAAGCCTCACTTCTTGGCACAGCATGAAGTGAAGTAGTCTGAACTGCTGAAATAATTTTCCTAACTTCTTTTAGATGCTCTTGGTTGGCAACATATTCTTATGTTTCTGTATTTTTTTTCCCACCAAAGGCTTCAGCAAGATAAGATTCTTTCTTGATCCTGTCTGCTGTTCTGTTTTCTGACCTGCTCCATCTCTGATAAGTATAGAGTGATATTTTCCCATATCTTATGATGTCCTGAGACTACCACTTCTTGCTCCAAAAAAGAAAATAAACTGCTTTTATTTAACTGTGGTTTTTTAAAATAGCCACCCATGCATTCACACAACTACTATCCAGTCACTTAGCTCTACTTAGTTTGAATGATGCTCACCTTCACTGCCTCAAAGAATGGAAGAGATGCAGGAGACTCATTGGATATGTGACATAAGCAAGGAAAGGGGCTTTTTTACTTAAAAGGTCCATCTAATTCTTTGTAGAGGCTCAGGATTTTATTTATGTGAATGCATAGAATGTATTCCAAGAAGAACCGGAATTATAGATAAGCACCAGTTCTTCCTTAAAGGCTTCCAGTAGCCTTGAAGCTGAACCTGCAACAACCTTAAAAGAAGGGAATACATTAATACAGTAGATCATTTTGATGACATTTTGATCCCAAGAAGAATAAAATGAGAACTGTAGTAAACATGGTTCTTTTTAGACTTGTGATTCTTCACAGCCTTCTCCAATCTCACGCCCTGAGAGGTGGCTGGATTTCAGTTTTCATACCTTGCTTCCCAATGGTCTTGCTGGTGTTGAATTATGGGAGTTGGCATCCAATACACTAGGGCACTACCTTGGTGAAGCTTAATAGAGAATTCCTTGTAATGTGTACAAACATAAAAAGATGACATGGCCTGCAGGCCACTTTAATCAAATCTGTTAAATCTATCAAACTAAATTCATAAGGCATGAATTTAAACTCAGTTCTTCTCTCTCCCTCCCTCTCCCTCTCCCCCTCCCTCCCTCCCTCTCCGCCTCCCCCCTCAATTTAGTTTAAAATAATTATCATCTTAGTTATATTAAAAATGCAACATTACATTCTTTTATATTAAGGAGTTGCCCACAATAACAATTTGACTAGTTCTCAGTAATTCTCTGTGTATCAGTTCAGAATTGCATTTATTCCATGTTCTATTAAGATTAATTTCCTCCATATTTCTTTTTAAATTATAGTCTTTGTCTTGTCTTAAAAACATTACATCTGCTCCAGATATGAAAACTTATGGTCCAAAGTTGATGTTCTCCCACAAGATGAAGACTGCTTTCAGGCTTTAGTCTGGGAAAGTGCCATGTATATGCTAGGCTGGTCTAGAACCTGGGACACTAAAACTGGCTGTCCATGCTTAACCATGGGACAGTCAATTGGCTGTTAATACACTGCAGAGTGAAATAGAGAACTCTATGGTCCCCAAATCCTTCCTTCAAAGGCAGAGATAGTGAAAGATATGACTGGGTTGTGTAGAAAATTGTTGTTCTTTCATTTATGTTCCCTGGACCCTATCTTGGGAGGCAGATAGGAGTACCTGCCTGAGATTCCTCAGGTCCTGGTGAGCTGTATGCCATAGATGTCAATATCACAAGGCCTCTCCCGATTTAGGAAAGTGGCTTCAGTAGAATTCTCTGCATCACGGACATTGTATTCCCCCTTTTTACAGGCTGTGGATTTGAGATAATAAATGATTCCAGCCATTCCTCCCAGGACCACCATGGTGGCACCAGCAATTGCCACAATGACAATAATATATAGCCAGTGATCTGCAAAAGGGAAGCATATTATTAGTTAGCAGCCTTTTGGCTTACAAAAAGAATTCTTAAGTAGGGGCCACCATAAAACTAACCTGACCCTGCTGAAAAATATACAAGCCCACATTTAAAAATTTCACATGATCTTTTACTGGGACAAAAAGCCCTTGATAACCCTTCCTTCCTTTGGAAATTCACTTTATGTGGGCTGTTTCATCTGAAATGTTAAATGGCCTAGCTGTTTCTCTTTTGTCCCTCTGAGTTAGAAACGTATCTATGGTTCAGTTATTTTGAAAGTTCATTCTCTAGTGTTGGTTGGAGAATTCTGGGAGTTGAAGTCCACAAGTTTTAAATTTGCCAATGTTGGACACCCCTGAATTAGATGTCATATGGCACATGGATATAAGTGTCTCAGTATACTTTGCTTTTTTTTTTTTTTTACAGAAACCCAACCAGGATGTTTGCAGACAGAAGCATTAGCTTTTCTCCCTTTCAGTTGCTTTATCTTCCTATCTGATGCTTAACTGTGCTTTATTTCTTTATACTAAGCGTATGCAGAACTTTCTGACTAAGTTTTATTTCTCACCTAACTCCTGATTCTTGTTCTTAGGGGAGAAAAGGAGAGCTTGTAAACTTTAAGCTGTCCCAGTCCTGTTGTATCCTGTTGTCATATTTAAACATAAAATATCATTTTCAAAGCTTGTGTAGCCTCTGGTCTTACCTTCCACTTGGATTTCTACTTGGCTGTGCTGTTGTCCATGCTTGTTGCTTGCTGTGCACTCATACACACCATTGTTCTGTCCGTCTGCATGGACAATTATCACTGTGCTGTTGTTACCAATAAAGATGACATTGGAGGCATTGGGCAACCTCCAGGTGTAGCTGGCAGCTGGGGACCCATCTGCCTGGCAGGTGATGGTGATGTTTTCTCCCCTTCTAATGGGTAAAGAACCACTGACTGATAGAACGGCAATAGCAGGCCTGTCTGGAAACAAAAATGGTGGATGTTCAGTTCATCCAGGAAAAGGGGCTCATTTTTGTTCTCTGTCTTCTCTAGCTATCTTAGTCTCTTGAGTTATAAACATTGTTAAACAAACTAACAAATAAATAGCATTGCAATGCTTCTAGACAAGTTGATATGTGAGATTTGCAAAGCATCCAGCTGTAGAGGATACTGGCCAGAGCTGGGATGCAAAAATCAGATGAACACCAAATGACCACTAGGTGGAGTTTTGAACACAGACTTGATACACAGCTAAAGTGTAGCACAATTGCTTGTTTCAGAAAGGAGAATGTTAAGGCTCTTTGATCTAGGCTGTAAACATTCAAACTTGGCAGCATAGAGATTTCAAAACTAATTTGTTTGAATCTAGTGATTGTTTGGAGTTTTGCAGCTCAGATCTGTGATCTCAGAAAACCCTTCTAATAGTTCTTCCCCATTAATATTAAACAGAGAGAGTGATGAATCTATACTCTATAGGAATGTTTTCTGTGAGATTCAGAATACAGAATAACAGAGTTGGAAGGGACCTTAGAAGTCTTCTAGTCCAACCCCCTGCCCAGGAAGGAGACCTGAAGTGGGATTTATGCAAAGTAACTTCCCTTACTTTGAACCAACTTTAATTCCAGAATGATTGTGCCACCAAGCTTTGGAAGAATGTCTTAATAATAATATATTTTTAAGCCTCTTTTCACAACATAACCTTAAGACTAAAACTAAGACCAGATTTGGGCTACAGAATTCTGGATGCCAACTGAGATACAAAAAGCTAATTCTTTGCTGACTGACATCCATTCAGGTTTCTGAAGCCCAGACTTTGAATCAAGGTGCTAGGAGTCCAGCACTGAAAAAGAAAACCCTCACGCAGGGCTGGAGAAAAGGGAAGCAAAATTGTGATTGACTGACTGATTGATTGATTGAGATCAAGTCATTGCCTAGACAGCTCATGATCTTACTTTATTTTAAATGGATTTCAGAGTAGCATCTAAGAAAGTTTAGTAGTATTTTGACTTATAAAATAGTGAAACAAAACAGAAACATCTGCAGGAAAACAAGGAGGCTCAGAAAACATCAACACAGAAAAACTTTTCAAGTCAGATTATGGAGGAAAGGCTTTTGAAGAAATAAATCAAACAACTTTTTTCCTGGGAGGCTGTTCTATGAGATGACTAGGACATAGGTTGTTTGAAAATTTACATTTTAAGGTTTCAGATTTAGCCTGAAAATGCAAGATGACAGATAACTTTAAATGGCTATTATATAAGATCACGTATAATAGAGACAACACATCAGAGTGATTAGCATTTCTTTTTCTACTGGAATAGTGGAACAAGGTTTAAAAAACTTTTCACATGGGCTTTGGAGTCAAGTGACCATGCATAGGGAGTGATAAGCATTAGAGAAACTGATCCCTTCTAAGTTTGGGATAGTACCGAGAGAAGTTGACTGCACCAGTTGTGCTAAAATCTCTAAGCAGGAATACAGTAAGCCAGGAAATCCATAGATCTAGGGCATATTTGCACTTACTGTTTAAATTGTTCACATCCTGTCATGCTTACTTGACTCTAAGCCATTCTAAGACAATCTTATCCAGAGTAATGACATGGTGATAATTTGCAAAATCTGAATTGCAAACTACTACATAATCCCATTAGACAATACGCTCCTGCTGTGCCCTCCCACCCGTCTCTTTATTTTATTTATCACATTTTTAAACCACCCATCTCCTTTACAACCTCACAACATTTACAAGATTAAAGCATTAAAGACACCCTGTCACCCCAGCCCATAAACCACTTATAGTTATTTGGGCTGTTTGAAAACTGAGGTTGCCTGCTATTTTGGGTGACTAGAAAGAGTAAAGTGCATTTAGAGTGAAAGAGTAGAATTGCATTTATCAAGAAGAGAGAAAAAAATAGAAGAGATGAGAGTGTAGAAAGAAGAGGAGGCGGAGAAAAAACAGAACAATGTTCTGTTGCAATTTGAACCCACAACACCTGGGTTACAATGCAGGAGTTTTACTGATTTTACCATTGAAACATTGAACATAAAGGAAAGAGCTAAAATACATGAGAGCTCAACATTGGCTCAGCTAAAGAGGTGGTCTTTCCTCTACAAAGGAACTAAAAAACTGCTGGGTTTAGGCTGTCCCTAATTCTCGGCCATCTAGCCCAAATGGACAGGAGCACTTTTGAAATAGAGTAGACACAGGTTGGTTGCAGGTCAAGTAGAAGGTTGATAGTAGGGGACTACATCCATTTCTGCCCTCCAGAAATGGTTGCCAATCAGTTATAACCCTGGGGTAACAGGTAAATCAGGTTCTGTTTCTAGTAGGCATGCTTCCTGCCTTCTTTGTGGCACTTTAGTTACTCTCCAAGAGAGGACAGCATTAGGACAGTCTCCTATTTAAATTTTCCACACAAGAAGACATACAGTATTGGAAAATGAAAAGAAGAGTGTGCAAGGAGGAGATTGATATTCATTGGAGTGAAATACTGTATAGAGGGGCAGGAAGAGATATAATGAGCTCCCCTCACATATATCCTTCAGTCACACAATATTTGTCTTACAAATATGTAGGTGCTCCTGGAATGTAGATAAGGAGAGAACACACTTTCTAGAAGCTTGCAGTGGGTGAAAAGGGATGCTCCTCCACTACATCTACATCCAGCTTCCTCTCTCTTTTCCTTCAGTAATTACTAGCATAATAATGGCCAACTAAGAGATTTTAGGAACTTTAGGAGATGAATAGAATTGGGAGTACCGCTTCATCCCTCTTCAGGCACAGATCTTATGGATGTTCACCATGAGGCTATGACTGATGACTCACATTCCACTTGCACGTTCACCATCCATCTCTCTGTTCCATGGCCATTAGTGGCATTGCACGCGTAGATCCCAGAGTCATTCCTGCTGACATTCTGCTCTCTGTAGATTTCCCCAGTCGTTCCCTCCTTGGCACACAAGACAAGTGGGGTGGGAATCCCATTTGCTTCGCAGGCCAGAGACTGCAGAGTCCCTTCCAACCAGGTTTGATTGCTTGGGCAGCTTGAGTCATCCATCTTGGGTTTGGCTGCAAAAAATCGATGGATAAGAATCTCCTGACATATATAAAATATGCATAGGTAACTAACAGCTGCTGTCAACCTACTTCACAGATGGCCAGTTTGTACTTCAAATTAGAGGACTATAACTCTGTTACTAACATATTCCATTTCACAAGATGTCTGGTGTTAAAAACAAATACAGTAAATTAAAATTGCTGGCAAATTCTCTTCATCTTAGTCTGCAAGAACTTTGAAATATGTAAGCCTGAGTTATGGATTTTCAATACTTCATGGACACTCATTAAATGCCATATTTGCAGGGACAAAAGCATGACAGAAAGTAAAGGATTTCATTCTTTTTTTAAAAAAATATTTTATTAGATTTTATAAGGATGGGGAAGGGATAAGATCGGTAAGGGTGTTGGATGGGGTTGGGGAGTGAGGTTGGGATAAGGGTAGGGAAAGATACAATAGTGGGGTTACCCCCAACAGTAACTCATCGCTTTAGCAAGCAGACTGTCATCCGGGTACAAATGTTAAATAACAATAATTAAAATAATACTAAAAAGTTATAGTCACAAAGATTTCATTCTTGTTTTAGGCTTTCAACTGAAATATATTACTTAGGTACAGATAGAGTTAGATTCAGCTGATCAAAAAGCTGATCAAAAAGCCATGTTTAAAGTCATTCCACATCCTGGTATAATATTCCTCTTGTACCAGACAAAGGATGAGGAAAGCCTGGATTTCCAAAGATACAGAACGTTACTTAGATAAGTGACTGCTAACCTTTAGTGGTACTGCAGAGGTCCCTGGTGTGAACAAAAATAAAGTAAAAATAAGTCTTCCTGACAGATCAAAGTAAGAGATGGACAAATTGGTTGTATTTATAATCAACACTCACTTTCAACTGTAATCTTGACTGCCTTGGCTACACTGCCATGGCGGTTTGTTGCATTACACCAGAAGGTTCCATTGTTAGCCAGGATCCTTTGCCCTTGGCTGAGATCATACGATCTATTATCTTTGGTGCATATAATTTCAGGAGGTGGAAACCCATCAGCTTTACAGAGAAAAGTCGGCAGTGCCTCTTCCACCAACGTCCAGTTGCTTGGACAATTAGATTCATCCATTTCTGGCTTATCTGGAATATCAGGAAAGAGCATAATTTGAAAATGTTAGGTTACAGGTTTTAAAGTCCATTCTTAAAGCTAAATTAAAAATTCAGATCAAAAGTCAACAATAAATCAACTCTCTTAATTTGTTTGCATATCAAATCATGGTTTGAGGATGAATGGAAAATAAGTTAAGAAAAACTGTCTCATTTAACACTGCCTGTACTTGAACTATCACCTTTTTAGTACTTTGTCCCCCAAAACAATGTATTAAAATGGACAACAGTTCTGACATTGGTGCAGTGAGAATTTCTTTAAGAAGTAGTTCTGAAATAGAGAAAATACCTTTTGGAGGAAAAGTTACATCAGTTGCAGTTTTCAACTGGGGAAAAAGACCAGTAAAAGAGGTTGCAGCAAGGGTTAAAAACTAACGGAGATAGTTATGAAAAATTAAAAAGTACAAGAAAAATTAAGGAGCACAAGAATGGCATCACTTGCTTTGGATCATTTTTAAATGGCAGCCATTTTTTTTTAAAAAAAATCCTTGCCAGTGTACCCATCCCTGTTGGGCTGAAATCCATGTTCACTTACATTCCACCTGGATGCTCACAGCTCTAGAGATGTAGCCATGAATATTTGTGGCTGTACAGAGATAACTTCCAGCATATTCTCTGGTGACGTTCTGGAGAACCCCAGGACTATAAGCCATTCCATCTTTAGTGCATTCAACAGTTGGTTCTGGGTTTCCCCAAGCAAAACAGGTGAACATATGTGGTGTCCCTACTGTCAGAATCCAGTTATGAGGACAGCTGGAATCATCCATTTCAGGCTCATCTAGAAGATTTAAAAAAAATCCTGATTTTTCAATGAAATGTAGGAAAACATAGATCAACAATATACAAATGGTGGAGAGGGATTTTTCTATATCCTGGCAATTTCTATTTTAAAGACTCCAGATCATAAATTGAATATACATGTTAAACTGGAAGAAACTTCATGCTGCTTTGGCTAATTCTGTTTCTTGGCTTGCCTATAGACTTGGGCGGGGGGAGGGGGGAAAGAATGGAATGTGTATTGTAGGTGCAGAGCTGGCAGCCTGAGAACCAAGGTCATTCAAGATTTTGTTTTCTGAGAACTGAGGATTCAGACAATTGTCTGAAGCTTAATTGGGTAATATGACATGTACTGTCAGGGGGGAAGGGAGTTTCTATACTTTTAATATACTGATTTGGCACAAATTTAGTCAGAGCTGGTTTTCTATTCATCAGTACCGATATGGTGTGCTCAATAAAGTTTTGCATTAGAGATTGGAATTTCTCAGCTGTGCTTTGTTGGGATCATCAGTCGGAACCTTGACACTATATACATAGCCATAAATAGAAACACATTCTGGAACTCCAGTTTTTCAATATTAACCCACATAGTTTGCATGCAATTCCTAGTGAGATGGTATGTGGGAATGACCCTGGAAGACATGCTGCCCAGGGAACAATCAGATAAGAGGGAGCATAACCTCAGTTGTAAAATGGTCAGAGAAAGAAACTCAGAAAGGAACATCACTAACTTATCTGGTGGTAAACGTTGGTGGGTGATCTGTATTTTTAGACTTGTAAGATTCTGTATATAAAAGCATTGTAATAAAGTAGTATTAGCTCATATGGTCACATTTCCTGATTGCACTACTTGGAAAGGCTGACAAATTCACAAGTTGCACTTACACTCCACTGTAACAGCAACCATCTTGGTAACTGACCCATGTACATTGGTAGCATTGCAGTAATAAACACCAGCATGACTTTGAGTGATATTGTGCATCCTTCCAGCATTGTAGACTTTGCCATCTTTTATGCAGAATACTTCCGGAATTGGAATACCATCAGCTTGGCAGCTGAGATTCCACAGACTTCCTTCTAGCCAGGTTTGGTGACTTGGGCATTTGGACTCTCCCATCTCTGGGCCATCTATTACAGAGAGAAGATGGAGAAGGTGTTTGGTGATAAGAACACGGGAACATAAAAACAGTCCTTTTGGCATCAGGCCAGAAGCCCATTGTCCAGTATTCTGTGTTACAGTCCAGGCAAACAGATGCATTCAAGAATCTTACAAGCAGATGAAGATGATGATGATGATGACAACATGAAAACTTTCTTCAGTGGTTGTTTGTATCAAAAGTGGAAAAGACCTGTGATTCAGTAAGCAGCATATAGCCACCAAACCAGAAGTATACAGTCAATATGATGTCTAAAAACATTCTGATTCTTCATGAATTTATCTAGTCCACTTTAAAAGCAGTTTGTGACCCTTGCCATATCTGGCTGATATAGTTTTGAAAAGCAGTGCTTCCCTTTACTGGCCCTGAATTTCCCTGCAATGAATTTCAATGGATGTGAATGTGAAAAGGGAGAAAGGTTGGTGAACACATTAGATGCTTTTTGACTTTACAATATAGGACTGAGAGTGGCTGGTCCAAAGTCACCCAGTGCCTACAAAAAGGCTGGAATCAGGATCTCCTCTATTAGTCCTGCTCCTTAGACACTACTCCCCCCCAACACACAAACACATGTACATGCACATAGATACATAAATATTACTTACATTCAACATGGATGGTGATTGTTCTAGTGCTGGAGCTGAGCTCATTGGTGGCTGTGCAGTTATAGATGCCAGCATGGCTCCGGTCCACCTGTTTCTTCTCTTCAACATCATAAGCAATGCCCTCTTTGAAGCAAGCCACCAAAGGCTTTGGGTTCCCCTTAGCCAAGCAGTGGAGCATTTGTTGTGTTCTCTCTACCCATGTACAGTTGCTGGGACAAGACAACTCATCCATTTCTGGCACATCTGCAATGTGCAGAGGGAATATACACATTGGTTGAGGCTCTTCTCTCTTTGGATGAGAAATAAAGGGGGATGTTTAAGGTTGGAGAAGAATATTGGGGTGTCAGTGGGCATATTGTTAGTTAAGCCTGGAGTGAGGCTGGTTTAAGATCTGGTGAGGGGCGTGCCTCTAGTGGCATGTTCTGCCTATCACTAAACTGTAGAAAACAGTGTGTTCTTTATTATATTTCAGACTATGTGCAGGCAACCATATACATTTGTCTTATATTTTACTGCTAGATTAATTGATCTTCTGCAAATTTGCCTTGAAGACTTTGCAGTGGAAGTGAAGGGTACTTAAAATTTTCAACAAAAATAAAATGAACTGGGGATCTTTTGTGTCTTGTGATTTGTTGTTGTTGTTGTTGTTGTTGATACTTTTGAATCAATGATGATTTCTGATAACTGCCTGGACTTTGTGCCACAAGCAGTACTAGAACTCTGTCTCCTTGTTTCTAGCCTAGTGCCTTAATCACTATTCCAAAGGGGCTCTCCTCTGTGATGGGGGATTCAGAATTATTACCTTGCTATAGATTCATGGCTATGCCATATATTTCAGTTTAATTATTTGCTCAATACAGAACAGAACAACAGAACAATAACACAGTTGGAAGGGACCTTGGAGGTCTTCTAGTCGAACCCCCTGCTCAGTCAGGAAACCCTATATCACTTCAGACAAATGGTTGTCTAATCTTTTCTTAATAACCTCCAGTGTTGGAGCACCCACAACTTCCAAAGGCAATTTGTTCCGCTGCTTAATTCTTCTAACTGTCAGGAAATTTCTCCTTAGTTCTAGGTTGCTTTTCTCCTTGATTAGTTTGCATCCATTGCTTCTTGTCCTGCCTTCAGGTGCATTTTGGGTTGCACAGGGATTTCTGAGTACCAGAAATCATTATATAATTTGCAAGGAGGGAGGCTGATCCTGCGTAGTCACCTTTTTAAAAACTAGAATCCCATTGATCTTCCATTGTGTTTTAAATATATATGGCAAGGATACATCTGCACTTGAGGTGGTCACTATTACTATGGAAACTGTGCACGTGGGCCCCCATTCCATATCGACTGACAGCCAGCAACATCTGAGTTTCAATATTCATTCGAACTGACTAGTGCAGTGGTGGCGAACCTATGGCACGGGTGCCAGAGGTGGCACGCAGAGCCCTCTCTGTAGGCACGCGCGTCGTTGCCCCAGTCCTAGGCCTTCAGCTGGGTTTTATAAAACCTTTTCGCTTTAGGCCTCCGCTGCCATATGCAAAAAAAAAAAAAGGTTCAATCAGTCAATTTCAACTTCTCTCGGGGAAAAAAAAGTTCTTGCAAAGTTGGAATTGACTGATTGAACTTTTTAGTCCCACCCAGTCTGCCGTTATCATTGCAGCCACGCCCACCCAAATGGCCACGCTCAGCCAATGGGCCACACCCACCTGGCACTCGACGATGCATAAGTGGGTTTTGGGTTGCAGTTTGGGCACTCGGTCTCTAAAAGGTTCGCCATCACTGGACTAGTGCTTGTAGCTAAAGATCATGTATACAGGAGGATTACTCTAGTCTAAATTTCTCCCTTTCTGCAAGAGAAAAGCTTTTATCTTTTTAGGACAAAGGCAGGAGCTGGGTAGCAAGGTTGAGAAATGTTGCACTTGGGCCTCTGATTGAAAGTTGCAATCTACGGGAACTAATCAAATGGCAGTAAAGCTTTTGCTGTGGAAGTCTATTTGTCTCTAGACAGAACACTAGGTTAGAATTTTTATTTTGACTGTGTATATTTGGTATTAATGTTCTCTGTACAGGCTCAATATTGGTGTGTTTTATATAACTTTACATCACAAGTTCTTCATATTAAGAAGAGACCCCTACTTGTGGTTTATTCACAGCCTTATATTTTCTAGTTTCCTCTGTTTTTTTAATACTGTTTGATTTTATTTATGTCTTGTGAGATTGATCTGTTTTCCTAAAAACAAATGGATAAGAACTGGCTGATTTTCTTAGCTGTACCTCAGTGCTATGCAACCAGGAGAAAGCACTATAGGATTTCTTTCACTTCTTTTCTTTTAAATTGCCAGAAATAAGTATGTAATGCAGACTGTGGGGATGCTATCTTTCCTCACACACTAAAGGCAGAGGGGAGGATTCCAGGTGAGGGGCTGCCTACAGAATAGGTGGTAGCAATGAAGGCTACCAAACCACACACCAAGGCAGAAGATAGAGCTAGATATAGACCCAGGGATCTTTTGCCCTACAGTCTCACTGCTGCCACCCCAATTAGGTATAAGAGACAGTCTTTGCCATCTTGTGAAAAGAGGCACATACATACCCTCTAATTCTTAGCCACTGGTTTTCAGAACCATTTGCCTTCTGTAACAGAGAGCTAGGGCTCTTTCATTGTGCCCTAAAACCATCTCTCTACCAAGCCATGGGGGGCAGATGAAAGATGGTGAAAAGTAGGGAGAGTTTGGATGCCAGTTCTCCCGGGACCTAAAAGACCTACTTCTCCCTTCTCTAGGGGTCTTTAGTTGTCATTGCCGTAGTCACCATGGGATTGGAAAATTGGCAATAGAAAACCAGGAGCACTGGATGAGACAAAAAGCACCTGAGGGTGAGGATTGGGAGAAAGGATTGGAAGTTGATTTTGGGTTCCAGTTTCTCCAGCAGTAAAAAGACCTCCTTTCCCCCAAAGGAAGTCTACTTAATTACAGGGGTGCCTCCTGCAGAGATGGTTCCTCAGTAGTACAGAGGAACAGCTTAGTTGCTGCAGGGTCTAGGAGGCAGGGGACCTTTTTACATACTATATATCTAATGGTCTACTGGTCAACCACTGGACACATGGCACACATTGGCATTTCACCTGGAGATTGTTTACCAGCATTGCCGCTTCTGCACTCCTGGGGACAGCCGCACTCTTGGTTTTTATAATAAAATGCAACTTAATTTGTGCATCATCAGGAGTGCATTAATACAATGGACCACTATGTCATAATAGAGAATCCTGGTTGCACTCCTGTACTCCTGCGTGAAAGCATGAGTAGGTACTGTTCCCTTCCTCTTCTCTTCTGCTTTGATTGCCCCCTAGGTCAAGGGGCAGAGTTAGGAGTAGGGAGAAGGATGGTCTGGTTGCTCCCAGCTGCTCTTGTTTGGAAGGCAGAAAGAATAGGGGAAAAAGGAGAGAAGTGGCTGAGAATGGATCCTTTGGGGCATGTTCTCTATTTTCTCCATGGCTTAGGGGATCTCATGCTGCCAATTACTAGCACCAAAAAAAGGGTTCCCCACTTGCCTTTCTCCTCCCACTGCTTCTTGGGTGGACAGAGTCCCTCCTGCTTTGTGCCGAGGCAGAATGGAAGGTGGAAGAGCACTCAGCATTTCTTTGGGGCCAGGTCTCACCTTGCGTAACAGCGTAAATAGATATTTCAGCTGCCTCCATCTCTGCTTCCTCTCCCTATACTCCCGACAAAAGGTCTCTAGCCCCTCTCACCACCACTAATTCCAGGTATCTTTAATTCAGTGCTGGCGGAGCCTGTAGCAACACTACAGAATTACACCTCCTTGTTCCTTCCTGATAGACATTGAATTGCAAATGACTTTGCCTGCCTCCTTTGCCCACCACTGGCTGTTATCTTACGCTAACACAGTATTATATTTAAAGTGGCAGTGAGTGTGTGAATAGTTTGCTAGATTTTTATTGTTCTTTTTAATGCAAACTACAAACACGAAAGGGTCCTAGCATTGCTGACAAGGCAGGCAGGTTGCTGGTTCTTCCTGGGTTCCCATCTATAGTAAAAGCCTGCCTGCTTTTATTGGGGGCTAAAATAATGAACTGTTTTGCAACCAGAGTGCACCAGGGTGCACCATTATTCAGTGGAAACAGCAATACAGAAAAGAATTTGGACGGGTCATTGTGAGATCTCCAGCAATATAATCGAAGAGTTTTTGTCTCTGGGCAATTCCAAGCAGAGCCAAAATGATTCAAATGTGCTAATTTGCAGGGATAAAGGAAATAAGCCTTTTAATGGAAAACAAGCAGACAACTTGTTGCAGGAAGGATATTCTGTACTCACAGAAGACGGTGAGAGTGGCAGAGGTGTGCTTTGTCATGATTTTCCCATCAATTTCCAGTTCCACAGCACATACAAATTCTTGCTCATTGTCTTCCTCTTGAGCTGTCAGGTTGAATTGCAAAGGAAATTCATCACTGGATGCCAAGATTCCTCCAGAAGCATTTTGGATCCGAAGATAAAAGCTGGAGGGTTCAGGCGCTGATGAATTGCATAGAACTGTCACAAGCTGATTGGCAAGGGCCTCAGAGGGGTAGATTTCCAAAGAAGGCTGTGGAAAACCTGCAATTGGGGGGGAGGGGGGGAAAAGAACATTACTTCTGAAACAGCTCAGGAGATGATGGCAGCTGGGAACTACATCAAAAGCTAGGCACTATTTCACAGATAAATAGTCTTAAGAATTTGTTTATGAACAGATATGTGTAATTGCTGATCACCAGATGCTTTGCAGTACCAGACCAATCAACTCCAGCTAGCACAGGCAGTGATCAAATGTGATGAGAGTTACTGCTCAATATAACAGGAAAATTCACAGGTTGGGTGGAAATTACATAAGGTACCAAAGAAGGAAACATGATGTTACGTTTTTGGCATATCCAGCAACATATTTTTGCCAGAGTTTTATGTATTTACAGTTCTGGGTCCAGATTATTTTTTGTACAGTCTGTTCAAGGAGAGAAAGAACAGATGGGTACAAGGATCGTGGGATTGGAAGATCATTTGATGACTGAAAAAAAATAAGGCTGTAAACATGACCTGCTTGTTCTTCTCTCAGGTTCTTTAGAACTTTGCATAGTAGCTTATCATGATGTCATCTCACAAACATCTCACTGCATTTGTCATATACATGCCCTGTGCTTCAGAAATGCCTTCTTATGGGGGTAGAGGGAACTATGGCTTTAAGAACCCAAGCAAAACCCTAGATGTGGAATTGGTGTTGATGTCTTGTGCGCTTTTTTTTTTTTTTTTGCTAATGGTTTCTAATGAGATAGAACCATTTACCCACTGGCAGCAAATGAGATAAAAGGAAAGCAATTCAGATTCTTCCTGGTCTGCTGCCATTAGAAGCTTATTCAGCAGCAGGCATGCACAGATTGAAATCCTATGCAACCCTCAAAAGTCCCAAAGATCTCCCAAAATTTGAACCCAAAGTAAGGCAAAAGGGAAAAAATGAATACATGGAAAAATAATTACACTGAATTTAATTGGCATTTGATCTGCCTCAGCTTAATTTTTTGGGAAGCGCTCCACCTAATTTGTTGAAATTAGGCCCTTGGCATACTACTCAGCAGCAAGTGGAACTCCTGCTTCAAATCTATCACAACCCCCCACCCCTCCCCTTTTAATAGGAAGTATGGTGTACTGTCATTCTTAGTGATGATTGTATGTCAGCAGAAGACACATCCACACAGGTCTTGAACTGGAGACATGAAGACTGTGTGTTACTCAGCTATAAAGGAAGGCCTTTGTCCCAAAGTCTGAAAACAACTGAAATCTTACCCCATAGTTTTTGGTGTCAGATCTACTTGAGATCCGGACTAGTTAATAAACTTGCTGTTGAGTACAAATGCTTTTTACCTTCCCTCTGTCTTTGCCTTAGCCCGACCTTTATTGTTCAAAAACCTGGACTCATAATATGTGTGACCCCAATGACATGAACAAAAGTTACAGTGAAGTGGCACTGTCTCCATTGCAGATAAATGTGCTTAGTACTGTCATTCCTTCACCACCTAGGTCCTAGCTAGCTTGTTTTGGAAACAAGCCACAATTCTCTGGAAATCAGAGCAGCCACTCACTGTAGATATGCATGGTTTCCACTGCAGATTTGGTCATGGGCCCCAGGGACACGGTGCAGTTTAGCTGATAGTTTCCTGTTGGCAAGGAAGACACCTGAGCTTCAGCTCTCACAGTATTGCCTGACAGAGTGATGCTGGCATTCAGACTCTGTTCTCCGAACTTCAAGTCAAATTGGGCCTCTTCAGCTGGGAAGATCCCAGCAACCTCGCAGGTCACACTCAGGTTAGAGCTAGCTTCTACGTAGCGTGAAGTGTGAAGCTGGGGATCTGCCAGAAAACCTATAAGAAAGAATTTTTCTGGTTATTTCTCTGCCAGGAAAGCCATCAGATATGAGAGTCTCTGTAAGCACCCTCTTAAGAAACCAGATTACTTCCATGAATCCCCCAAAGAAAGCTACTCTTCTCTGTAAATGTTTGTTCTTTACTCTCTAACCAGTCAGGAAGTTCTGGGACTTCCATTTTTTCTTCTCCTGTCATTAATAATATTTGTCTAATTTATCCAGAATGGGCATATCAGCCTTTGGAGGCAATATATGACTCCCTGGATTTTCTCTGGGCTTGTGTATACATGACAACACCATGCTTATTGTAAGACTTGAAAGTTTCCTCCTGAACATGTATTTTGACTTACCACTGGATGGGAACACTGAAATAACTGAGTACTTGATAGACTTGATAGAAGCTAAGGACTCCCAGATCTTTATAATGCGGTACACCTACTAGTGCCAGAGCAGCATAGGAATGGATTTGGAGGATACCACATAATTCAGCAGTGCTGTGCTGCTGACCATCAATGTGATGACATTTCTCTTGGTTCTCTCCAGATTTCCTGCCCCAACTGCTCCCGTCCCCCAAGGATTCTTCTAATGAAACCAAATGAAATGAGAAGTTGTTCTGTAGTTTTAAAAAAAGTGTTAGTGTTCAACATCACTTTTGAAGCATAGCCCCATCTTAGGAAACAGAATGAAAATGGGGGTGGGAATGATATGTGAGCAGGTCAAGGTTTTCTTTGCAAATGTTCCTCCTTGCCTAACAAAACTGACAAATATAAATTGGAGTGCTGGTGGTGATCACTGAGGACGTTGGATGGGGTATCAGGGGGCCCACTGTTGATAAGTGTGAAAGCATGTTGTGAAAGCATCCAGGAGAAGCTTTTAAAATTTCACAGGTTCACATAATCTCCAATTACTGTTTTTTCACTGACATAATGTACTCACTAGTTGTTTTGATCTTTTGGGGGCCTTCACTGTTCTTAACCACTTGATGTTTTTCACCTTAGTTATGGGGCATATTTATTTCTAAAACATATCTTGAGCCTTTTAGAATAAACAGAAAAATGACATACAGTCAGTTAATGTTCTCAGGTATCCAGGTACACATGTTTGTGTGACAATCATTAAAGAAATCTGCCTGCATCTTTTCTTTTCAATGCCTTTATACTCGGTTACAGGTAAAATTGGGGGCAGTTAATTCTCCAGGCACCAGAACAGAGTTGTGAGTCACAGCCATCATAACTTCATTAAAGCAGCCAGCTCAGGGAGATTAAAGGGCAATGTCTTTGACATACAGTTATTAACAGACTCCCACTAACAGGATTATAATAATTACATATTTTGGGCATGCTCAGTAGCAGTAGAATGCCTTTCCTAAATGCAGAACTAGGAACTGGGATGGAGGAAGGGGAAAAAACATGAAGCAATTCTTTGTCCTTTCAATGAAATTCTTACTAGGTTGGCTCACTTCAATAGCTTATCAAATTAAATAGCCTGCAATTAATTTTAATTGTTCAAAATTATTTGAGAAATCAGTGAAAATACAGGAATTCTTAAGTGGCCCAACTTTTTTTTCCCACTTCAACATCAGAAAAATATTTTGTATATATTACTGTATTAAGAGTCCCTTTTTCATTGGGGCAAGTTGAAGTCTGGCTGCCATATTCATCAGTCATTGCTTAGTCCAGTTTCAAAAGATCCTTGGTTCTTGTAACAGGAAGTGATCCTTCCTCCTTTTGACAATTTATGCAGGCACAGAGGAGAGAATGAGGGAAGGCAACACTTATTTTGTCATCCTCCTCTAGCCACTGCTAGCTTTGCCTCCTTATCACTAGCATATGTCCTTAAACAACAAAAAATTTCAACCCTGGTTTTGTCAGGTTGGGTTAATCTTTCTAGCCAAGTGCTGCATTTACTCTTCTTGTTGTTCTTCCTCGTTATTGTTTGTTTTCAAGGACTACTGAGACATGGCTGGTGTTATAGTGATGTCACTAGAGTTGATAGGCCCAAAATGTGGAGAGATGGTGGGAGCACTGGGTTCAAATATATCAAAAGGACATATTAAGCCTTCCAGAGTCACATCAAATCCACTATTTTAAGCCTTAAATTGTAAAAAACAAAACAAAAAAGGGAAGTGAAAAATGTAGGACACTGATAATTACCGTAGTCATTTTGTTATTGCATTTCAGTGACACAACCTTTCAAGATAGTAAAATGCAGCCAGGAGTTCAGTCCTGACCTAGCTCAAGTTTGACTTAATCTTCCATCCTTCTGAAGTCAGTAAAATGAGGACCCAGATTGTTGGGGGCAATATGCTGACTCTGTAAATTGCTTAGAGAGGGCTGTAAAGCACTATGAAGTACTATATAAGTCTAAGTGTTGTTGCTATCCCTATCGCTATCACTATTCATTAGCAGTTTTGATTTCCCAGAAGTTAGCTTAGAACCTAGTTCCTGGATTCCCAATGCATCTGAATTACATTCCCAAGCACTCTTTGGTTTGATCCAATCTCTTCGCTCTTGATAAGTCCCTTTTCTATCACTGTTTGAACTTTCTGTTAGTACCGTAGTAGTGACCACCAGGGAAAGATTTGGGGGTAGATGTTCAGAGACATCAGAGCTTTAATCTGCAGAATAAGCAGCAGCCCACTTGCCCCCCCTCCAGTGTAATAATGTTGACTCACCACATTCGTCCTCTCCACCAATATAAGCCATTAAATACATAATGCAAACGTACCTAACTGCAACGGGAAGTGTCATGCTTTGCCTGCCAGTGATCCCAGATTCAGTTCTCAAGTTAGATCAGAACTCTAGTTCCCCCATAGTCCCCAGCACAAGCGTTCCTCTAAGATCCAAATAGACACTCACTCCTCTCTTTCTGAGCAAATAAGATTCCCAGATATTGGGATTATCGCTTTTAATGTTTTTTCAGTTTTTGAGCTCTTTTCTTTCTATTTTAATAACTATTCACCGCTTTTATTGGGGGAGGAAGCTTCATTCTGGAGAAGATAAAGAAATAATAAGAAGAAGAAACTTGCAACTCACCAAAGACTTTTAGGACTTCGCTGAAAGACGTCTTTTCAAGGAGCTGCCCTCGAGGCATCATGTCCAGAGCAATGTGGCAGGTGACTTCCTCCATGTGATTGTCCTGCTGAGCAGTTATGGGGAAGGTCACTAGGATGTCACTTGCTCCAGGAGCACTGTGATTCTCAAAGGTCTCTATGTGGAGTTTTTCTGTTCCTTTATACAGTGTCACAGTGAGGAGCTGGATGGGAGCAGCATTGGTAACTCGGCATGTCAAATTATACACTTTGCCCATCTCCATTATTGGCACTGGATCCAGCACTACATGTTCTGGAATTTCTGCAATGATATATGGAAGCCTACTGGAAAAGGGTTTCAGATGAAGGTGGCAGCTGCTGAAGAAATCCCATAGGAAGGGAAGGGTCAAACCATTTCGATCAGGCATAGACAGCATGTGACCCTCCAAATGATATTGAACAACCACAAGTCCCAGCTAGCATATTCAATCATGCAGCACAAGGGCAATCACTATCCAGCAATCTTTGGAATGACATAGCTTGTCTGTCCCACTGATCTAGACCATTGAAGATGTCTCCTCTCCAAATTCTCATTGAGCTATATCTCATAGACAAAACATATTTAAAGTAGTAGTGGTGACCATTTATGGGAATCTTGCCAATAACCTATGGTTTTGTCCGTAATCTAGTAAAGCAAGAAGCAGCTCTCAGAAAGGCAGGCAAGAGTAAAATCCTAGCTATGTTAAATATTTAGACACTGAAGTCCTTCAGCCCTGTGGACCACACATTCCCACTGCATTTTTCAAGGTTTCTCTACTCAGGTGATCATCTCAAGGTTTGATTGTAATTTTAGAGGTAAAGTGTCATGGGTAAAGAGAAAACCTAAGATTGCTGAATTATTGGTGGCGGAGTGGCTAGAATGCAGTATTGCAGGCAAACTCTGCCCACAGCCAGGAGTTTGATCCTGACCAACTCAAGGTTGATTTGGCCTTCTATCCTTCTGAAGTCAGTAAAATGAGGACCCAGATGGTTAGGGGCAATATGCTGACTCTGTGAATTGCTTAGAGAGGGCTGTAAAGCGCTATGTTTCTGTTTCTTGTGGCACTACTGCTCAAGCACCAAGCATTGCTAGACTCTGCCCGTAGCCTGTTAGATACAACTTTAATTTTGTACCTTATCCCAACACCCATTTTTATCTCACAAGGCTTTGTTTCCTTAGAGATCTGAAAATCTGGAAATTGTCTTTCTAGGTCACATCTTTAAATACTTTGTAGATAATCTATTGTTAATATGTTCACATAGTTCCCATGGGGGGGTGCAAGTAGCTTCTAGCTATGCGGGATGTGATAACCCACTTCTGGAAAGGTGCACATCTCAGTCATCGAAGGCTACCTAAATGCCATCATTTTATTCTGAGAACATTTGACCAGTAGTTGTGCCTTATCAAAAGCTCTTACATTCAACCCCAACAAGTTAATTGGTTGCAATCTGGAGATGCCTGTAAAGCAACATGCAGTTGGAGAGGATCCTCTTTGGTGATACTAAAGGGAACAGCTCTTGGGTTATATCTATCTGGATATGAACTGCAGACTGCCTCCTTTTTAGTGATTCAGACCTTCCAGTTTTCCTCCCCATTTTTCTTTTCCCTTCCTCTGCTTTCTTCCTTTTCCTGCCATTTCTATTAACTTTTTTTTAAAAAGCTCTGGACTTAGATATAAAGCCAAATTGGAGTTCTATTCAGCACCCTGATTTCTTTAATGGGCTCATAGGGGAATGAGGTAAAAGGTAATTATGTTTTTATTGTGAACAATGCTTTTTTTGTTAAAAAAAAAAAAAAGGTGCCAGAACTCACACACGTCATACAACCCGCCTTGCCTACCCTACAAGGTTCCATCCCAAAAAGGTGCCGGAACTCCGTTCTGGGCGTTCTATGACAAAAAAAAGCCCTGATTGTGAAGAAATAATAATAATGATAATGATAATACTACCACTAGTCAATTGCAAAAGACTGCTTTACTTGGAACAGCTTACATCCTAAGATAGTTCCTTTAATATTATTAAACAACATCTGCCTATGCCAGGTCCTTGGAAAGGACTTGATTGGTGGGTAAAAATGGCAGATCCAGTCTAAACATCTGGCTGATTGTGCAACCAACCATGATAATAATAACATCTGTTGCTGAAACTGGAAAGTCTCACTAGGCTAGGCTGTGGAACCTGGAATTTAGCCCAGTGGACCATTCTAATTAGCATCACCGTATCTGTGTAACATTCAAAAGTGTCCTGGGTCACATTCTGATTTCGTTCATAATATATTTTTCCAACTCTCCGGCCCGGCTGGTCTAGACTAAGTAATTATTTAGATGAAAAGCTGCTTAAGACAGTCTTTTACAGATATAAACAACTAACAGATCTTTGCATCATCACCACTTACGATAGACCATGATGTTTGCCTGAACAGATTTATGCTCTCCGTAACAGCTGAAGGAGCACTCAGTGGCAGACGCCCACTCTGTGATGTTCACAAGCTGGAAAACTGCCCAATGAGTCCCATTGTCTTTCTTCTCCTTCATCAGCGATGTCTCCAAGCCTCCCCTGGCATCTGCCTCCTGGCAGCTGGTACTGCAGTTCAGCCAGAGAGAACCTCCATGCTCCACGACAGGCTTTTCTGGCCAAATGGTCACATCAAACATGTGCTGTTCTGCTCCTGAAATAGGGTATTCAGAAGGGATTTACCAACTAGTTGGTCCAAAAGATCACATAGAGACTTATAGGTTTCTGGGTTCAGAGATAGGCTTAGGTAGAAATCTCAATCCATTCCCTCCCTTTCTCTCTCAAGGCATTTTGGCAACAGGCTACGTTTATCATCACAAAATAACTAAAGAAACATGAGAGTACCATTCTTGTAGCTGCAGTTTATACACATTTATAAAAGAAGGACTCTCAGGGAACACAAATGGAATTATTCCAAGAAAACCACTTGCATTTAAAGAAAAATGTGCCTAAATACTATAAATATTAGATTGAACTTCAAGTCAGTACACAAAAACAATGCTTTTCACTCAACCAAACTTTTCTTTGCAAGAAAGACTAGCTTTTAGAAGAATGACTTTACTTCACCCACTCTATGAAATGCTAGATTTGCATTCCTGCTGTCTTCAGGTATTTATCTGACTGCTTGAGAATTCGAAATTGGGCAGAGAACAGTCTATGTCCACAATCCTATTCTCAGCACTCCCTGTTGGTATACATTCACCTGAGATGTATGAAAGAGATCTATGTTTGTGGTGGCTCGAATGCAAGGACAGCTCTTTGGGTTGTCCAGGATCCATGGAGAATTGAACTCAAGTTCTAGTATCCGAAGGTGACAGTCTCCTTCAGATCATCTAGTGAGTATATGGGTGCATGATGAGAATTAGCATTATCCAAAACATATTTGTGCTTCTAACCATCCAAGTAAGCACTAGGCTTTGGTCACACTATCAACAATATGGGGACCATAATATCATTTAGAACAGGGGTGCCAAACTCACAATGTCATGTGACATATTGCAACATATCACAACTTTTTCCCCATTGCCAGCAATGGGGTGGGTGCGGTTTTGGCATGATGCATCTGGCCCGTGGGCCGGCAGTTTGACACCCCTGATTTAGAAGGAACTGACTGAAGCATGTTGAAGGCCTTTCTACCCCATTTCAACATGCACATCTTGCACAAATGACATTTTGCTTTCTCAAAGCATGTTGCTAAATGAGTTGCCCTTTACAATAATGAGTGATGTATCTTCAAAGGTGTTTGTACTCTGTGTTAATAAGAAAAATAAGCTTATTTTTGCATTTTACGTAATCTGGCAACTGAAATTGGATGAAGCAGGAGCTAGCTGCATGAAAAGTTCAATAGATGTAGTGAAGAAGGGCAATCAAGGGGAAATGCTTCTTTATTTATACGTCTCTCTGTATCAAGGAATTGCCAGCCATGCAGATCTTCCAATGAGTGTCATCCTGGGGAATGCTTTAGGGCAATAGCTAGTTTGGGAACAAACATATGCTTGTGCCAGCCTTAGGCATGCTGGGCTGGTGGTTTGTTTTACTTTAAATCTGAGGTGCCATTCACATAGATAGGCTAGTTAAACCAACATTCTAATGCATTTTGGTTTGGGCTAGCATGATGTGTGAAATCAGTCACTATATAATATCAACACTTGGTTCACAATACTTGATATTGAGAATGAACCAAGTCACTGTGGCTAGATTTATGTGTATTGCTCAGCCATGGTTTGTTTTGCCAAAGTTGTCTGGGAATGAAAACACAATTGGCTAATTTCACATATATTGCCTGGATTCACATAACCACTAACCCACACCAAAACAAATTACATTATAGCATAATATCTGATTCTTACCATTTGGAAAATCTGAGATTATTCATTCATTCATTCATTCATTCATTCATTCACCAAAGTGACCTATCATTTATTATTATATATGAACCCAGAGCATTAAAACAATCATGGTTTGGAATGATTTCACAGCTTCCTATATAGCGGGACAAGGAATAATTTCTAATATAATTTAATGCCTTTTGGTCCAGAATAAATAGGTGGATATAACTCTGTCCAATAAAGAAAAACAAGGGAAAATATGTGAAATGTGTTTCTGGGCCTTTTTTCCAATTCCATGATAATAGTTCAAGATTACATGATGAAGAGGGAGAAAAGAGATCTGAGCTACTCTCCAATTGTCCAATCACTCCCATTGGGGGCATTTTATTCTGTAGTTTTCCCAAAGCACTAGGCCCATTTTCAGTGCCACCTTTCTTTGTTCGCTTCTTCTTCCATGGGAAATTCTGGGAGAGAGTAATCCTGCTGACAGACAGACTGGTGTGGGAGTCTGAGTCCTGAACCCTTTTTCCATATTTCTTTTCTAATATTCCTTTGGGTTGGAAAGAACATCTTCTGGATTTGGTGGAGGGGAAA